GGACTTCTTTTTCTGGCAAAATATTTACTCTCCTAATTGCATATTCTGTACATGTATTGTTAAATAAACTTGGTTGGCACTTCTGAGCACTAACCAATACCTGGGGGAAGAGAAATTTGAAAACTGAAAGGTCAACTGAAGACTCATAACTTGCCTTTAGATAATTCATCTAGCAAAATTTACGAAGCACCTGCTACAGGCAGGCACCATGCTAGACCCAGGAGCACAGACACAATAAGAAAGACACAGACTCCCTAAGGTGATTACCAGGGGAGAAATTTGTGTCCCAGGAATCTTTCTATATTCCCTCTCCAGATGACATATGAAAGTCATCAATGTACATTTGTTACTACTATGGAAGACCAATTCATTGCCCATATGGGTGCCCATCTATTTTGGAAAAGAGATGAAAACATACATGTCAATCAAAATTTCATAAATTGCATCACATGCTAACATTATTAAAAGGAGGCCACTACTCAAAAACCCCACAGTGAATTGTCTGCAAAGCACAGAATTCAGCTGGTATATTTGGATTTCCACATGTCAGATGTACATAATGCACAGCAGAATAGGATCAGAAACCAGTGGTTATTGTCTTTCCTCTTGCCCCCAATTCTCTTATTATTGTTATCTTTACAACAGTTAAATGTTCCATTTTTAGCACTGTCTCTAAGCAACTAAGTAAAAAACGGTAGCTGTAAAGTACTTGTGGGTCCTAGGAACATTAGTTCCTAGGGAAGGCATAGTGTCAAGTAAATCCAAATTCTTCCTGTTTCTCTTCACCATACAGGGAAAACTTGAACAAGAAACAGATGCAACTGCTGCAAGAGCCACAGGTGTATGTAATGCCACCCTTGAGAGCAGGGCTCTGCTCTGCCAGGACTGAGGCTCAGAAACCCCAGGCCTCAGTGTCCTCATCTGTCAGGCGGGCTTTGTGTCCTTAGGAAATTATTTGTAGGTAAAATAATCAAAGAACAAAAGACTAGCAATAATGACTGCATTTTTCAATCCCTTTACCAGGTAGAACCCTATATATTTAATGCAACTATTGTGATTAGTGGACTATCCCAAATGTCTCTAGGGGTGTACTAGCTGCCACAGAGCAAAGGAGAGACAGCTTTGGAGACATATTCAAACTTCAGTATTTGTGTGGCGACCTTGGACGAGTTACTGAAAATCTTCCAGCTTCCATTTCTTCATGTGTAGCATGAAGATTGCTTGAAACATGTGAAACGCCTAGCACAGTAACTGAGAGAGTGTAAGGCCTTTCCCAGTGGGAGTTATCATGGTAATTACCGTTGTTCCATGCCATACCCTCAGGGTTTGTCCCTCAAAAAATGCTCATTGAGTGAAGTGCTGAATGAAAAAGGGAATCCTTGTTTTCAGATTGTAGCCAACATTTGCATTAGAATCCAATAAGGATCTTCAGCCCATTTCCATTCCCTCTTTTAAAATTTGGACCATAAGAAGCACCTAGGTTTTAGAGGAGGAAAATAGGGAAAAATTTTTTGAAGCAAAAAATGTGGTAAATATTTAACAACATAAATAACATAATATTTCACCAATGTAAATGTAAACAGAACTCAACAGCAGCATTAACAACCATATTCCTCCCAAATTTTCAGGGTAAGGGGGGTGCATCTTAGAGTCCAAAAATATGATACCTGTTAGCACACATAAGACCAGAGAAAGTAGTTTAAACCAACAATATTAAACATGTTCTTGGAGAACCAGGTCATTCAAAGCCCATGGATTCTTCCACCATTACATTCACTGAGTTTGTGTAAGGCCTTGCATGCACTGGGCACTGTGTCAGGTGGCTGCTCCCCTATGCCATTCAGAGTCTGTTGGGAAAACACAGTACCATCATAATTACAGCAAAACCCAGTGAGTGCTGAAACATGGGAGATGGGAGAAAGGTAGGAAAAAGATGATTTCTTCCTGAGAAGGACAAGGTGATATGAGGGAAGATCTTTGCAGAGGAAGGGCTACTGAAGCCAATGATGGTGATGATGAAGGAAGAGTAGAAGTTTTTCTGACAGAGAAGATAGAATGTGAGGAAGAGCTCCCCAGGCACAGAAGGCAGATGGGTAAACCCTGAGGAAACCTCTCTGGTGTATCTGAGACAGGAGGCAGCTGAAAAACCCAGCATTCATTTGACTGACAAATACTGAATACACAATGTTTTTGGGCAAGGGTAACAATTACTAAAGTCAGAGACAGGATAGAAGGAAACTACAAAAGACAATGACCTTCGTATTCTGATGAAAGGGCTCTGCTTCCCTATTGGCTAAGGAAATCCATTGGTGGGCAGCAAGGAGTCAAGCAAACTGATGGGGTCCAGCCAGTGCTGACGGCCACCAGCTTGGCCACCTACTTGCTGTGTTACCTGGGCCAAATCACTGCCTCCTTTGGGCCACCTTCCTCATCTGTGAAATAAGCAGGTTGGAAAATGGAATCCTTAGAATTCTTTTTTGCTTTAAGGTGTTCAATGATCCCTTTAAATCATGGAGGGCTGTAGAGAAGGGGTGGGGTCTTCTCAGAACATTTATTAACTTGAGGCTCCCAAACTCATGTCCCAGAGGACTCGGAGGGATAAAAGCAAAATCAAAAAACATTTTCAGATCAATGACTGAAGAGGCTGACACATATGTGAGAGACTGGGGCGTCTATGGGGGCAGCCTCACAGTCATCAATAAAATCCCTTTCTCTCACACAAAACCTTATTTATTCATTAAACACCGAATGTTGTAATAGATAATTTGGCTATATCTCTAATTTGTGCCTCACTTCAATGAAACACAGCAATCCCAAAACAAGGTAACTGGTACAGCTACAAACATCCATATATCACCAGGGGAGCAGCAGCACAGAGAATGGAGCAGGCGGGCAACTTCTCAGAGATTCCTGGTCCCTTTGTGCAGCCTTGGTCTTGTAATCATCTACATCTGTTCTGGGGCTGGAGGTTGGAAGGTGGCCATTGCAGAAGATTAGACCCAGTTTCACCTTGCCAGCCAGCAAGGCTCCTGGCTGGAAATCAGTCACATGTGGCCTGGCATGAACCAAAACTGAGGTCCGGCAGTCTTGACAGAGCAGGACAAACAATGCTCCACACATGGGTTTGAGATTATGAGGGTCCCTTTGAGGCCCCCTGTTGTCAATGTAGCAGGTAAGAAAGGAACTTGTCAGCTCCACTTTCTGCTTCCCTCTAGGAGAACAAGTGCCAAGGGAGTCGAGGCCCTGAGGCACTGCCAATTCTGGCTCCATCCACTTCTGCTTCCCATTAGCAACAAATGGAAATTGATGGGTTACCACTTTACTTGCTCATTTACAGAGGAGAAAACCTTGTAGCAATTGCTGAATAACTGTAGGTGTCTTACAAATTAAGCATCTTAAGGGTATAAACCATTTTGCATTGTGGTTAAGCATAATTAAATTAGATCTTGAAGTTTCTGTAGAAAGGAATGGGGAAGAGGGAGGGAAGATTTTGTTTTCGGTTCCTCTTTTTTTTTTTTTTAAGCATGCAGCGTGGTAAGCCCAGGACAGGCTGAGCAGGAGAACTGAGCCATCTACCCACAGTTCTGACTCCCACCCACTGCCTCTGCCCATGAGTGGAACTATGTGCCAAGAAGGCACCCTGGAGCAGCTCGCAGACTCCAGTGGGACGCTGGCCCTAGCCAGAGCCTCAACTCTTGGCTTGCCTCTGCCTACCACCATTATTCCAACTTCTGAGACCTCAGGACCAGCCCCTCTGATTTGGGGCTTTAAGCCAGTTCCCTGAGACTCAGTGTCATGACATCTTCATTCTAAATCAGCCTCTAACCCTCTTAGGATAAGTTCAGAATCCAGGATCCTGCCTTGCTTATAGTATTACTTCCTGCCTTCCTCAGGTGGGTACCTGTCTGGATAGCCTGCCTGGTGTCTGGGTCCCTCTGGGGCTCTTCCCTAGCATTGCCCCAGGGGGCCTGCTGTTGGACAGGCAGGCCTTCATGTGACATACAACCTACCTCTCAGGATGACTCACTGCTGTGTGCCACTAGTCTGTCCACATTGACCCCCCCTTCTCTATCTATCTATCTATCTATCTATCTATCTATCTATCATCTATCTATCTATCTATCTATCTATCTATATACACGCACACATGCAGATGCTCCCAGCCCCCACAAACCCCACACCCCACATCTGTCCCAGGCCATCAGATCCCACCCAACATGGTGTATGCTGGACTGAAATGTCTCCTGCCCCTGCAGCTGAAACCGTGTCATCAGGACTCAGGTCGGTGATGCCTTGGTCTACAGTTACTAGCCTTGCTCAGTTCTGAGTGGGTTGGGGCAGTGGGGGGAAAGCAGCACTTGATTCCCTAGGCATTCCTGGATTCCATGTGGAGCTAGGCCTCCTTCCCTCCTTCCAGGGATGGGAGGGCTGATGAGGCAAGGAGTAGCACTGTCCCATAGCAAGTAGGATGAGGAAGAGAGCAGCAGGTACATGCGTCACTACAGTGACCTGGCTCTCCCTCTCCAGAACCAGATTAGGGAAAGCAGATACCACCAAGTCAAGGGCCCTGACAAGCAGTGGGCCAGAGCCACCCAAAGGATTCTCTGGCTTCATCCAAAGCACACCCTTTAGGAAGACTTCTTAGCTTGACCAGAGAAGAGATCCCCTCTATTCTCTGATCTCTAGCCCTGTATTTGGAATCCCCTGGGCCATTCCCACCCTCTTCCTCACCTAACAGCTGTCCCTTTCATGTGCTAGGCTGTTGGTCACAGGCTACAATGGGTACTTATCAGCATCTTTTATTCTGGCAGTGGGAGCTAGGCAGGTTGACCATATTAGAGCTGTGACCTGTCAGCTGCACCAGCCCCACTGCCCAGGCCCAGCCAAATGAGAGGGAACATAGTACAGGGTCATATGTCCCCTGTGGACACCTGGGGTAATGAGAAGGGGTATCACCCGTGGTCAGGATGCCCCTGGGGTGCTGTTTGAACAGCACTTACCAATCCTCAAGGCTTGGGGACTGCAGGTGACCATCACAAGCCACACGGGAAGCAGCACCAAGGGTGCGGAGACTCGGGGCATCTTCTATAAATCCTCATGGAGCCCTCTGCTGGTCTGCGCATGACATCACTCTGCAAGACCGAGGTAGGAGCACATGAGTCCTATGCCCCTGCTGAGAAGCCACCATCCAGTCCAGTGACCCCAGGCACCTGCTCCACCCAACCCCCCAGAGTCTCTATGGGGAGGGCAAACAACCCTCCACAGAATGGCTGGCAGTGCCAATGGAGAGCTCCAGGCAGGCTGCAGGCCTCTGTCTTTCCTCTCTATGCTCAAGTTCAGGTTCCAACTTCTTCCTCCTCATCAAAGTGGAAGCAGGTGGTATACTGTGGTTGAATGATTCATGGGGCTCCACTTTTTAAAAATCTCAAATATGGGATGAAGAACTTCAGCTGATCCTAAGGAACAGGCGCTGTGGATTAGCAGCAAAGGGCACAGTCAGGTGGCTATGCCAATGCCCAGACACCCACACACACACTGCTCCCTGTGCAGTGGTGTGGGGCAGGGCTGGGGTCCAGCCCAGCTCCTCCATGAACCAGTGGGTGGCCTTCATGAGGGCTTCTCTTGGTCATTGAACCCAGTTTCCTCACAGGTAAAAGTGGCACAATACTACCTATCCCATAAAGAGGAACTGAGGACTAAGACAATGCAAAAGAAGCTTCCATGCTCAGGGCCTTGCCCAAAGGAGGGACAGTTCAGATGTCAGTTCCCCCTTCACCCAGATGGGTAAAAGTTCATTCCCAGCTCATCAGCTGGTTCCCACATGTGCTCCTGCCATCTGCTGACAACTATCCCTTCCTCATCCTTCCTGTATCAACCTCTCTCCTTCCCTGGGCAGGTGGATCTCTGATGTCAAAGCCAGAGCTTTGGAGGGGCTGACTCTCCCAAAGGTAGCATAGGCATTGTCCCCTCACTGGGACCTTTCCAACACCCCAAGATCAGAGTCCATGGGCTGCCAGCTCTGCCTCATCGTGGAGGTGAGGATGGGGCTGGTAAGCACCTGGATATGCTATTCCTGGGTCACTCTTGGTTAGGAAAGCAGTATTAACAATTCCTCTTCCCACCTTTCACAGAGAATCTAATAGAAATATGGGCAAAAGACCAGAACTGAAACTTTACCTATAACTATATCCAAAGGCCTGGAAACATTTGAAAAGGCACTCAGCTTCATTAGGTTTCAGGAAAATGCAATTTTAAACCACAATAAGATACCAGTATACATCCACCAGAATGACTTTAAAAAAAAAGGTCAAGTGTTGGCAAGGCTGTGGAGGAACTGGAACTCACATAATGTCTGTGGGAGTGTATATGGATAGAACTATTTTTGGAAAACTGGTATACTAGAGCTTTCCACATATCCTCCTGACTCCGCAACTTCATAGGCAGCAAACACACACTAGAAAAGATGCACATGCTCCCCAAAGCCAGACTAGAAGGCCCAGTGCAGTACTCAGAATTCCTCCAAACTGGAAGCTACCCAGATTTCTACCAGCAAAATGGAGAAACACAGGATATGTTCACACAATGGAACGTTGTATGGAAATGAAAATGAATAATGATGAATCTCTTAAACATTATATTGAGCAAAAGAAACCAGGCACAAGAGAATGTACAAAGTATGATTCTATCCACACATAGTACCAAAACAGACATAAAACCATCTGTGCTGTTCGATGTCTAGTTAGTAGTTACTCTTGGGGATGGGTAGCGACTAGAAGGGGATGTGTGGGGTCCTCTGCAGGTGCTGGGAGCACCCTTACTCTGGATGCTGGTTATATAAGCATGTTCAGTTTGTGAATACTCATCGAACTGGATTCTTATGATAATGTTCACTTTTCTGTATGTTTAATCACATCTTCCCACCTCCCCCCCCCACACTCAATGTTCCAGCCATGCCCAGTAGCTTGTGGTTTCCTGTGCTTGCCATGCTCCCTCTGCCTGAAGGGGCTCCTCTCTCCAACCCCTGTCACTTGCCAGAACCAGGTGCTTCTCTATGGGCCATCACATCAGCCTATAGGGGCTCAGATACCAGCACTTTTCCCTCTGTGGCAGCTGTATTTATGTGTCTACACCTGAGATGAGTGTGGGCTTCTAAGGGCAAAAACTGTTTCTAGTTTACTATTGTATCCTCAGAGCCTACATACACAAAATAGATGCCTAGTCCATATCTGTTCAATGAATGGAAGGCCTTAAGCAATGCCCTCTACAGGGAGACAGAGGAAAATAAGAGGCAAAGACAACAATGCTGTTGGAGGCCTAGAATGTGTGTCCTTTAATTCATGGGTGTTGATGAAGGGACATAATGACAGCAAACAGTGTCAAGGGAAGCTTTACATCCTTACTCATTACAGATAAAGTCCATTGTTCAGTGACTGTACCCTGCAGTACAAGCTTGACTGAGGGGGAGAAGGGGGCAGAAATTTTGTCTGTCTCTTCAGGACCCAGAAGAGTGCATGGCATATGTTACAGTCTCAACAAATACTTGTGCATTAGGTAAATGAATAACTTTCAAAGAGGAAAGAACTGTAAAAATCTGATTAGTCTATATTAAAGTAGTATTAAATATAATAATTTATGTCAAATGCCTTCCATTGATGCCTGATCAGCAGAAGCATAATAATTTTGCAGACTGCTAAATAGGTGTCAGATTACCCTGTGTATTATAGATTTTATATGATGACAGAGCTACTAGTTCCTGCAGGCCTGACTTCTGTCTTTCATGGCCCTGAAGCCTGGCTGATCTTGGAGACCACATGTAAGGACAACATTGGCTGAGGTCCAGGGCTGCTGTTGGCTTCAGCGGTGTGAGCTTGGGCATAATGATGACAAATAATCTCCTCCCAAGTGTTTGTTTAATGACATCCCTCCTGTCCCACACACATGTCAGAATAAAAAGAACCATCATGTCACATGTTTGTAATGCTCAAGAGTGCAAAATTTGGCATATGTGAGGAGAAAGATAAAACTCTCAGATTCTTTATCAAAAAAAATACAAATAAATGTGAAGTCTATTTCCACTTTAATGTTTAGATGAGTCTGGCCTTAGAACCTAACAGTGTAGCCTTTATTAACTGAAAGTACATTAATAAAAAAAAGTTATCCTGGAGATATGCCCTTTTCCTACTCACATTATCCCTCTCTGGGAATTTCACTGCCACCCATGGTTTATTATCATCTGCATAGTGTGGCTTCTAAATTGGATCCTTAAGCCCAGAACACTTGCACTTAGCTGCCTCCTTAAATCTCCACTTGGATGTCCCACAGCTCTTCAAACAATCCTCATGCTAAAGAAAGGTACCCTCTCCACCTCTCCCACTAGCTGCTTCTCTTACATCCTCCTCAGCACTGCAGTCCACTAGTCACCCAAGCTAGAAAGTTACCCTAGATTTCTCCTTCCCCACATTTCCACATCATGTCAGTCACCAAGTCCTGATAGCTCTGCCACTTCAACACCATGACCTTTCCATTGCCACTGACTCTCTCCAACCCAGATGTTTGTCGGCAATAATGGAGACCTCTGCCATAGCAGCCTTCTTGGTCTCCATCCCACTAGCTTTTCCCTCTCCAGTAGCTTGCCTCACAGCAGGCAGGATTCTTACCAAAGTGTAAACTTGATAATGACACATTCCATTGTATCAGGGATCAAGGGCAAATTCTTCCCTCCCTCCCATGATCTGGCTCCTGATTTCCCGTCACTGACACCCATACCCTTGTACCTGACACCCCAGGAGAGCTCAACCCCCAACTCCCTCAGAATGCCACTTCTACCTGTGCATGGAATGCAGTCTCATCCTGCCATGGCCTGGACATGGCTTTTCCCTGGCTTGACTATACTTCTTCTCTAAACTGTCTATGATCTTGCCCCACACTGCTGTCACTCCACCTGAGATATTCCTCATTAGGTCAGATGTCCAACTTATGACGATACTGCCTGTCTCCCCACAGAACTGACAGTTAAGTTGCAAAGCTGTGGCAAGCACCTAGCACATTATCAGACACATGGTAGGTGCTCAATTAATATAGGCTGAATAATTAAATGAAGAGATGGTAAGGCATCTTCTGAGTTTATGCAAATATAAAATAAATCCCCAGTTTGGCTTATACATTTTATATATTCTCTGTTGTTAAAACAAACAACCTAAGCAGACATAATGCTATAAATCTGGGCTAAGGGTGATCACAGAAGTATGTTGAGAAAAGGAAGAAAGCAAACATTTACTGACTTTTTTTTCTATCCTTGGGGCTTAGGCTGATAGTCACAGTTACAAATGTGAGTGTGAGTCCCATACTGTCATTTACTAGCTGTATACCTTGGGCAAGTTAGTCAGGTTCTCCAAACCTTGACTTCTTCATTTGTAATATGAGCATGATAAAATTATCCTCAAAAATTGTTATGAGGAGTAATGATAAGATGCTTGTCCTGTGCTGCTTCCACTAAGTCTTTGGTAAATATTAACTATGTGCGAACATTATATTAACCTTGTAAGACAGTGTTGCATGCCACATTCCACAGATGTGGAAGCTGAGGCTCAGAGAGGTTCAGTAACTTATCCACTTGCTGCAAGTTGTGTGGTGCTGGGCTCAAATTCAAAAGAGGCTAATTATATTGTAATCACAAATCCCATGCTCCTTCTTTGATTAGAATTAAATATGGAATTACTGGCAGAATTTAAGTCCAAAATGGGCTCAAATATGGCTCCCAATTTCCAAGGGTCTCTGATAGCTGCCATCTAAACAGAGCTGGGCCTCAATCCTATATTCGTAGATAACTCAGTAGGTGGAAAGTCTAAAAACATTTCCATGTAACTGAGGACACTGTTTTGATACTATAGGATAGCCATACCCATTGTAGTGAATGTCAAGGTGGGGCCCAACATGGATAAAAGCAGGTTGGAACTGGCTGTGGATCTTATTCAGGGTATATTCCTGTCATGCCCATTTCCTCATTAGCAACATGGGAATATCAATGCCTACCTCATGGGGTGGTGAGCACCAGGAGAGCAGGGAACACGTCGGAATGTCCCACCTGCGTTTCCAGTTCCTAGCACAGGCTGGCACATAGTAGGCACTCAAAAATATCTGTTGAAAGGATGAAAGAATCCAATCAGATAGTGTATGTGGAAAAGGCTCTGTTGGTGTGTTTACTCATGACTTACATTCAAAGTCCTTAGCAAAAAAGATGTTACAATCCAGGTTCCAATCTCCCACAGTATGAGCACTCCTCTGAATTCCCAGCCCTCACTGTCTGCAGCGGTGGCAGCATCTGGCCACGCACTGCCCTGTGAGTGCTTGAGAGACACATTATGAAACACTAGGTTGCTTTACCATTTATCTGCCCAGGATGTCTCAACCAAACACCAAAAATCAGACATCTCCACTTCTTCCAGAAGGGGAACCTAGTTTCCATTTTTTCAGAATTTGAAGTTTGATTAGCGTCCACAAATTGGGTCCTCTGATGTTTCTAAGTGTCTCTGACCCCAGTTCTGAGCTTGTATTTCCAGTACCAGCTTCATAGGGGCAGAGCCTTCTTCTCATTATTCACTGCTACACTTTCAGCACCTGGAATAGTGGTGCCTGATGCAATGCATTTACCAATAAACAGCTGACTGTGTGCATGAGTGAATAAATGAATGAGTAAATCACTATTTAATAACTGCACTTATTTATGCTTGCTCTCTATAAGCAGACTGCAAGCTCCTGGGGGGCAGGGAAACACCTCTTTCAGTGCATATCTTCCTAAAACACTTGCTATACTGATTACCTATACAGGGTGCCTATACTGAGCACACGCTTGATTAATGTTTGGTGATTCTGACCAGCCCTGCATTATACACACAAATAGGCACTACCTGTCAATAGTTTACAGTGTTCAGGCAGTGAACACATTGTCTGAACTTCCTGGCCTAGTTGTGCTAAATGGCTTCTCCTCTCCTGACTTGTCAACAGTCCCTCCACTGGTCTCTCTCTCTTCTTAGGGCTATGGCACCTAATCGTAATCTTCCAGGGTGGCTCAGAGAGGAGGCTTATGGCCACCATATGGTGTTTGGCAGACAGAGGAAATCAGAGGGGCAGTCAGATTAATTACTGTAAGAGTAATTAACCCCCTAGGAGTTTTCTCTCTCGGCTGTGGGCAACGTGGTCTTGATTACACCTCATGATGCTCCAGGCCCTGAAGACAAATGGGTGTGGGCTTCTCTGCCGTTCTGACTCCTGGCTGGAAGAAACTCCCAGCAGAAGCCAGCAGCTTGGGCAGAGCATCCAGGGTGGTGGGGTGGTTAGGGCAGTGGAGTGGGGTCACTGTGCACCTGAGGACACCGTTTGGACAAGGCCCCAGGCCCTGTGGCATCCTTAATAGAGAATCAACCTTTGTGGCCTGATGCAGTTATGGAGCATGTGGAAGGGTCCTATCTCTCCATCAACATGTAGTTCAATACCAGGATGCAGACTCTGTCCTGGGCACCGAGACCCCGGTGTTCACTAGTTCTGGGAGTCACCTTCCTGAGTTTCAACTTCATTCTGTAAAATGGGGAAATTATACTAGATGATCTCTAAGCTTCTCTCAAGCTTTGAAATTCTAGGAACTGTATTTTACGATAAATATTTACTTACTACATGCAAAGTACTATCTCAGACTCATTGCTCCTCACATGAGTCCTGTGAGGCAGAGACTCACTCTCCCCACCTACAGGTGTGACGCCCAAAGGTGGAGACTGAGGGAGACTTGCCAGGGGCACTCAGCTTTAGGGCCCATGCTCACCGACTACTCTATACCGGCCCTGTCTATATATCCCAGAACCTGGCACATAGCTGGCACTTGAGGGAATGCTGGAATGTGATTATAGTGATTATCACAATATTGAAAAAGAAGACAAGTGAAATGCAAATAAGTAGGTCTTAGGCCCATCTGCACATTTTGCCAAATTGGGGTCAGGGGCCAATAAGAGAAATATGAGTCTGGAGTGTCCTTTGGCAAAACAATCAGTCCAGATGTCCTTCAGCTTTTAGCATCTAGCACCAGGAGATGCTTCTAGGAGTTTGTGATGAGTTAACATGGCAGGTTAGTGGGGCTTCGCATCAACCTAGGAGCTGGACCAGGATAAACTGAAGAGCAGTAGCAGGCCCAGCCAGGTCTGACTTTAGAGGAAGATATTCTAGGAGCACAAACACTGCAAGTATCTGCTGGCACATAGGACACATGACTAGGAATAGTTGTTCCCAATCCTGGACATTAATGGACAGGACATAAGGAATCCCCAGTCTTTTTTCTGCCCTCTAAACCACTGCCTGTGTAGATTTCAGACTGAAGCCCTTAATCTACCACTAAACAATCTTCCCTCACCAGGGACCAGAGCAGGCATCCCTGTTTCCAATCCCAGCTGCCACTATGTGTCCTGAAGCTGGTTACTTAACCTCCACAAGCGTCATTTCCACAGCTGTCAACTGTGGGTGACAATGCCTGCCTTGAAAATCTGTTGCAAGAGGATTTAGGTGCAATGCATTCAGTAAATTTGAACATCCTTGCTTTCCTCTCTCTGTCCGCATTCAAAGCTCCCTCAGCCCATGCACACAGGCACCCGGGACTGCATCCATATCTTCTCCCAATAAGACAGCCTCCACATCTCTCACTAATATTAATCCACAGCCTTTTCACCTCCACAACACTGCTCCAAGTCAGCCCTAACCCAAAAGCTTTCCCTGAAGAAGTCACTCCTCCTCCCTTCCTCAGACTTAGCCAGGCATGGAAGAAAAGTCAGATTAGAGGTGGAAAACAGTGACCCTGGGCCCATCTCTTAACCTCTGGTGGGTTCAATTTCCTCTTCTGTGACAGGGGGACAGGACAGTCCCAATGTCTACCTTCCAGGGTGCGAAGGGGATCAAACGAGACAATGGGTGGAGCAATTACTTTGCAGATAAGTGAAGTATTTTTCCTTTAACCTGGACTGGCCAAAGCACATAAATAGACTTACTCCCACTACATGATTTATACTTTATTTATTCAATTGATATTGCTTACTGAATGTCCTCAGTGTGTTAGGCAGCATTCAGGCCCTGGAATTCAGCCTCTACCCTTTGGAGCTTACAGTTAAGGGAGAAGATACTCCCATTTTCAGATAGCTGATGCTATAGTGGTAGCTAGTGCAGGAAAACGCAGGATGCTACAGAGTGTGCAGCAGGGGCATCTCTGGAAACAGGAAGGGAAGGTGGCCTTGAGGATGAAGTATTGGATGTCAGCTGGCCAAGTTCTTTGAAGGGGACATGACATGAGAGAGAAGGAGATCCCAGACAGAGGAAAAGACATGAAGAAGACTCAGAGGCCTCTAGTGGGGTGCAGTGTGGTGAGTTTCAGAAGTGGCAGGGAGCCCATAAGGCTGGAAAGCTGAAAGCATCTTCTCTATGTATCTGCTGTGTTTTTGTCCCGTCTACATCCTCTCTTCCTCCCTCGCTCCCTCTCTCTCTCTCCCCCCCCCCCCCACCCCGTGTTCCCACCAAGTCCAGGATAAGGCTCTACATCTACAGCTGATTACCTCCATGAACCTCATACTGGACCCAGCATCTTTCCCACACAAGGTAAGGAGGCTGTAGCATCCATATCTCCTTCTTGCTGCAAAGGAGGTGGTCAGAGATGAGAAGATGGAGTTAATCATCAGTTACAGAGAGCCAGTGGAAACAGAAAGAGGGTCACAGGGGCAGATGTGAAGGGCAAGATTGGCTCCAGGTGCTAAAACTGTCCCTGGCATTTACAGGAGGCCACCAGGTCAGGCCCTTGGGGAGCCAACCCATGTGAGATGAGGTTTTGAAATAAAATAGCCCAGTGCTGGAGCCATTTGTAACACATTTACAGCAGAAAGACCGTGTAGGAGTGTTGAAGAAAAGATAGTGAGCAGGGGAGAAAGGTGTGGAGAGACATTGCTTTTAAGGACAACATTTTAATTACCTCTAGATAAACTCAACCCTCCTTCCCTGCTAGGGAGCTGTCCGGGTGCAGATCTGGGAGGAGAGGGGCTATCCAAGAGGAGCCTGCCTGTCCATGCCCTAGAGTGAGGGGGTGTGCACTGCAACCTTCCAGTAAGAGATTTGAAAAAAGCTGAGCTATGCAGCCTGGAGAACAGAATGGGGAGTGGACCTGTGTGATGAGGGAGGGGAGATGCACTCAGAATTTAACCACTTGAAGACAGCAATTGGTTACTAAAGACTCATGATTGATCGTGCACAGAGAATCTCCAGCTCTACCCAGGTCAAAGCCAAACAGGAAATGCTTTGGTGTTAGCAATCAATGGAGAAGCAAGGCCCAACCCAGAAAGCTGCTGGGTCCCAGACACGGAGCCCACACCCCTTCTCATCCCTTGGCCTGGCTTCATCCCACTCACATGTGACCTCATTATGTCTGTCCTGTTCATGGTCACTGCACATATACAAGTATATCAGCCTTTTCAATGTCTTAGCCACCATTATCACAAAGCAAGAATGTGTTTCTTGTTGTTGTTTTTAAGTCCTGGCCAGAGCAGATGAGGTGTGTGCATTCCTCTCAGGGAAATCCAGGACTTGCCCCTCAGTTCTTCAAGGGGCGAGGGAGGGGATGGGCTGTTAAGGCAAACAGAAAAACTAGATATTGTAAAATAAAGATCCATAACAAAATAAGTGGTCCTTTTCACAATACAAAATGATGAACTTATTGTACTCGTGTCAGCCAAGCTGAGCAAGCCCTGGGAATTGTCTAAGAACACATGCATGGTCCATTTCCACCTATTCCCTGCCACCCAGCTCCATGATCACTGATGGCCATTGCGTAGGAACAGACTGGCACCAGGTTCTGTAAGGAGCAGAGTATAGGAACTCCTCCTACTGGCTGCACCCTGGAGAGGGTCTTTTGGAACTGCAATCAGGGATAGGAGGAAAATATGCTTCTCATTCTAAAGTGTTTTCTACTGTTCACATTTTAAACTAAGACATTGAATTGCTTTTTCAATTAAAAAATCTAGTTAATAATTTTTTAAAACACAGTAAGGAATCCTACTTTCTCCATGATAGCTCCAAGAACTTGGCATTTCACTGAGCTCCCCGAGTCTGTCCCTTCCCCT